ACATACCGTTGATCATTTGTACATTTTCTTTTGAGAAATGTGTACTTAGACCTAGTGCTCATTTTTAATCAGGTTGCTTTCTTACTCTTGAGTTGAGGGTTATTTTTTTTAAGAGAGTACACCTTTATTTCATCATTTCACAAATAAAGCTGAATTAGTTGTTTTTGTTGATTAATAAAAAATGATCAAATCCCATATTATGTCTGAGTCTCCCATTACTTTTTGGCTTTAACCTTGGCTGGTACTGTGTCAGAAGCTGGAGCAGCAGTAGTGGTGGCAACCATGGGAGTAGAAGCTACAGATGGAGATGGATAAGCCCAGAAGGCCTTAAACTTTTCAGTAAGTGGAAAAGTGTACTCAGTCTCCACAGACAAAGCCAGGGCCCCCTTGTACCCATTGATAATAGAATGAGGCATTGAAGCAAAATTTGTTAATAACTGCAGACAAACACTAGTAATATTTCTGACACCCTCCAGAAGGTGAAAATGCAGTTTCCTTTGTGATGTCATGCACTTCAGTGTGGTAGATGGTGCCGTCTTCACACAACTGGTGGATGATCAGTCCAAAGGAGAAGGGGGAGATGTTTCAGCATGTTCAGTAGTGTGTCTTCACTGGATCCTAGTATATCTCAGTGCATCACTGAGCATTTCAATGGTGCCTGTGGAGATTTTAGTGGTGATGCCTAGATCCTGGAAGAAGGAGGTCTTCTTGGGCCCCAGACCAGTTTTCTAGGCTGGCATAGTAACTTTATATGGGGCAAAGGCATCAGCATGGGCAGCAGTTGGTACTTACTGGCCAGGAGGATGCCCCTGATGTCAGTGAGGTCCTCCTTGGCAAACAGAAGGCCAACATTCCTCAGGACATGAGGAAGCAGTTTCCCCAGAGCTGGGGCATTTTCCTGATGCCCATGGAAGATTGTATACATCATGGTCATGTACATGACTGTGTACATGGTGCCCATTGACACCAGAACATTCTTTTGGAGGGACTTATGGATCTGGTGCATCTGCTTGGAGCCCACATTGTCTGGTCACACAATGAACCATTTTGGATAACCATCCATACTTTGGGTGATCTTAAGAAAGGAGTTAGAATTCTATGTTGCCATGTCTGACCTAGGAATCACAGCAGTGTGTCAAGGATTGCCATTCAGATAGTACTTTATGTTATTTTATTTTTATTAGCATGAATTCATTGCTCATTGTGACATTTATGCACATGCATATAAAGTACTTGTCTATAGTAGTCTTTCTTAACCCCACTTCTACCTCCCCCTCCTTTTTAACAGTTTATAGTGGACTTCATTATGCTATATTCATACATATATCGAATGCATGCAGAGTTTAAAGTCAATGTCATTCCCACTTGGATGCTTGCCACGAGAAGAGATTTGAGTCTTTTAAAATATATTTTAGATATTAATTACTTATTAGATTATGGATTGAAAATATTTTGTTGCATTTTGTGGGTTATCTCTTCGTTCCATTGTTTATTTCCTTGACTATGTCTGGTTTTGCATTTGTTGTCTATATTTTTGAAGTCATATCCAAAAATTTTATTGTCCAGACCACTATCATGGAGTTTTTCTCATGTTTTCTTCTAATGTTTGTTTATTTTTTGATACAGGGTGTTTCTATAGAGGCCAGGGTGGCTTGAAACTTACTATGTAGACCAGCCTGGCCTCAAACTTACAATTCTCTGGCTAGGACTTTCAGTAATATGTAGAAAGGAATGGCATGAGTGGGCATCCTTTGTCTTGTTCCTGATCTTAGAGGAAAGGGTAAATTTTCACTTATGGGGGTTATGTTAGCTATGGGTTTGCAATACATGGCCTTTATTTGTGTTGAAGTATATTTTTTATTGTTTTATTATTCATATGTGCATACAATGCTTGGGTAATTTCTCCCCCCTGCCTCCACCCCCTCCCTTACCACCCACTCCACCCCTTCCCTCTCCCCCCCACCCCCTTGACACCCGGCAGAAACTATTTTGCCCTTGTTTCTAATATTGTTGAAGAGAGAGTATAAGCAATAATAGGAAGGAACAAGGGTTTTTGCTAGTTGAGATAAGGATAGCTATACAGGGAGTTGACTCACATTAATTTCCTGTGAAGTATATTTTAACAAGTGTAAATCTACAATTCAGTGGCCTTAAGTATACTTCTATTGTTGGACAATCATCACTACTATCCATCTCCAGAACATTTTCTAATTACAAAATGAATTCACAACAATTAGGCAAAATTTCCCCATTCCCTTCTCCCTCACCCCCCAGTAACCTCCATTCTTTCTGCCCCTATGAATTTAATTGTTCTAGGGTCCTCATATGAGTAGAATCATATACTATTAGTTTTTTAATGTAATGCTTATTGCAGTTAGTGTGTTTCTAAGGTTCATTGGTGATATATATATGGTATCAGAATTTCATCTTTCTTAAGATTAAAAATATTCATCTGTGTGTGTATGTGTATATATATGTGTGTGTTTATGTGTGTGTGTGTGTGTGTGTGTGTGTGTGCCTATGTGTAGAGTGGAGTATTGCAATTAGTTTTATTATGTGACCTTCTATTAACAAGTAAGTTTCTGGATATATAGAGTTCTTCCATTATTTTCTTTGTCATGACTGAGCACAATAATTAAACATAATGGAAATTGGACCTTACAAGGGATTTTATGAAGATAAGAAGTGGAGAAGCCATCTCTCTCTTCACAGTGGATAGAGACTGCCTATTGCTTACTCTGCCTCCTCAGGACCATCCCATAAGCAAGTCAAAACAGAACTATCAGCATAAATTCCCCTAGTATGAGTATGTTTCCTAAAAATCATGTGTTCTCTGCTTCAATAATTGACTCTTTAGCAATGCATGATCTAATTATAACTCTCAATAGAATTAAGTTCCTTGAAAGGAGGAAGGATTTATATTTGTATGTGCTCTAATTGTATCAATGTCTGGAATGGAGTAAAAAATGTATTTGTTGAAAGAATGAATCAATGAACTGATTGATAAATTTATATTGGCTTTCCATATGGAGGAACTCCTCTCCTCTACTGCCATATGGGGATTACCCAGATGAAATATAGATGATGGTGCTATTTTGTTCTTGAGTAATTCCATATGAGGTCATGTAAAACAAATGTATGATATCATAACCAGAATGTCAACATTAATCCAATCCATCATTATTAATCCATTTTCCAGTTTTATTTGTACTTGTATGTGCACACAGAAATGTGTATTTAGTTCTATACATTATTATCACAGGAGCAGATTTGCATCTCAATGATCAGGGTCAAGATACATGACAATTCCATTACTACAAGGATCCCTCATGTAGCTCCTTTTATAACCACCTTTACCTACTCCACATATCCTATCTCCATTCCTAAACTCTGGCACCTGCTGCTCTCTTCTAAATTTAAATAGAGTTGTCCTTTCAAGACTATTATAAAAACAAAATCATAAAGCATGCAACACTTTAAAGATTGTTTTTTCCTGCATAAGATAATTACCAGGAGGTTCATTCAAGTCATTGCATGTATCCATAGTTTGCTCCTTTTCCTTGAGTGTTATTCCATGGTGAGCTCTACTACAACCTGCTTAGTAATTTACCTTTGATGGGCACCTGTGTTGTTCCAAGATTTTTGCCTATTACAAACTAAGTTAGAATTATGTATATGTTTTGTATAAACATAAGTTTATATTTATTTAGGATAGATGTTGAAGAACCCAATTCCTCTATTACATTGTAAATACATGTTCAGTTTTTTAAGAAACTGTCAAATTGTTTTCCAGAGTGGCTGTACCATTTACATTTGCACCAGCAAAGTTGTAGTGATCCAGTTCCTCTACAGCCTCAAAAGCATTTGATGTAGTCATAATTTTATTGTAGCTATTATGTGCTTCGTGATATCTCATTATTGTTTATAATTTACATTTCTTAATAATGACAAATAGACTTTCATGTGCATATTTGTTTGATTTTTATATTTATCTAGACTTCACTTAAAATATTAGGAATATGAAGCATAGGTGATATACTGTGGCTTAGTCTGCTTTGTATTACCATAAAAATACCTGTAACTATACTTACAAAGAAAGTAAATTTATTTAGTTTATCATTGGCTGAGCTAAATTTGCTGTCAGCATTGGCTTCTAGTAAATACCTCATAGAGGATGGAGTCACATGATACAAATATGTTAAAGAGGGAAAGGTCACATGGCAAAAAAGGAAATGAGAGCAAGCTAAGAATTCCAAAATGCTTTATAACAGCTCTCTCGACAAGTAACCAATCCAAATCTTGAAATCTAATCCTCTCTTTGGAGATAAGACATTCATCTCTTCTGAAGGTGACTCCTCAATGACTTAATCTCTCACTGGGTCCCACGTTTTATAGACTGTACCATCTCTCAGTAGTTTTGTGCTGGGACTAAATATTTATCACATGAGCCTTTGGGTGACAAACCAAACCAAACCATAGCATAGAAATTTGCTTTGAAAAAAATGTAACTGCAAGATTTTGATTCACAAACCCACTCTGGCATAGGGAAAAAAGAGCTGGTTATTAGTTCCATTGTTTATTAGAGTTGAAATAGTTTTCTAAATCAGGGAATTTCTGTCAAATGCAGTCACCCTTTGTTATAACAGCACTCTTGTGAGCTAGTTTCAGTTCTGTACTAGGAGGCATGTCTTAATTTAGGCATCCTTTATGAACTATCATTGCTATACACTTTATTTGCAGGTACTTTGGCCTCTTTAATCTGCAGTAATCTATTCATATGCCAAAAGTACTTTCATTTCCTGACACTGTAAATATGTTGGGGGTATTTGTTTGATATGGAAAGTGAATTTACTAATGCATTTGGTTTAATTTTTAATTTTAAAAGCTGTAAATTGCTTAGGCTCTAATAATAGCTAAGTGTAATTACCTTCACATTTTGCTTTATTTACAGTTAGTTTCATGTGGTCTTCTTCCTTCAAATGTCCCCCTTTTCTCAACAGGTTGATTTAGTGAATATCGGAAGCACTGACATAGTAGATGGAAATCATAAATTGACTCTTGGTTTGATTTGGAATATAATCCTCCACTGGCAGGTAAAATCCTGATGAATTTTTCCTTTTTTAGTAAGATGTTCCTAATCCTTTCTTTCATTTTCACCTTTGACCTGCAAAATAAACACATATACCTCTAATAATACCAAGCCATGGCTATTGTGATGCATTTCAAATTGGTATAATTCATGTCATTTGTGATATTCAAGATCAGTAGATTATAAAATGTGTTCTGGTACATTTGCAGGAAAATTTTTCTCATTTTTATTTTATCTGGTAAGGATGAGGTAAAAATTACAAAGTCCCAACCATAGGTTATTAAAAATATTTTCACAAATAAGTGTGCTATAACTTGTCTATAAGTGAATAAACAGAATTTTGTAAAAAGATATTTTTCCTTTTAATCACTATCAAAGGAATGAGATTTTATCAGTCTTGTGTATTGTTAATGTAAACTAATTTACATTAGTCAAGTAAGATATGACTATTAACAGGAGTATGCCTGTCATATATATAAATTCACTTCACAGCCTGATTTTGAAATTGCATTTTTCTTAATCATGTGAGAATAGGTTCTATATTTATTTCACCTCTGTAAAGCAGATATAAGAAATCTAAAAGGAAATCTGTAAAGCACTCAATACAGTGCTGCATTTTTGATGACTGCTATATGAATGACATTGATTGCTTAGCACTTTTCACACATATTTTAAAGAATTTGGAGGATACTTGAGATATATCTGTCTTTTTTACTAGTAGGGATTACATTTTTATGAAATAGCTCTATAGAGATGTAATTTTTGTAGCATAAATTTATTGCTCCCAAGTGTGAAATCCAACATGTGTCATTCTAGTCTTTTGCTCCATAAATTCTCAAACTACCTGTAGAAGAGTTTTTTCCCCTAATTAAGCTAAATTTTTAAGTTATTTACAGAATTCTATAATCATCACTGCAATCTCATTTTCACACTTTTCCACCACTCTGATAAGAAATTTTCTATTAATCCAGCTCTAAATGACCATTAATCTATTTCTGTCTATATATTTCTTTTTGGACATTTAATAACATATAATGTGCATTGTTTTCTGTACATACCCTTTCATTGAATATAATATTTGAGGTCCTTCCCTATTGTAGCAGTTATCACAACTGTTTAGTTAAGTTGACTTTTAACTGGTCTTGGTCAGCATCAGACAGTGTGTAAGCCATAGGTGTACCTATTAACATAGTGGCCATAATGATTTCTCAATTGCCCCCATATATTTTCATTGCAACCACTCTGAACAAGTCCAACTGCATTTTAGAGCAATGTGGGAAGAACAATGCAGCAACTATAAGTGTAGACAATGGAGAATATCTCTTGCCTCACATGAGCCCAGGTTGGCCAATATACAGTCTTTTTCTTATATCCATGATGGAAATAAAACCAACAGTGATATATTCCACTTCCCAACAACTGATTTCTTTCTGTTGCTAACTACTTCTCCAAATATCTTGAACAAGGAATTCTTTCTCCCCTAATCAACTTTCTGTAAAATACAATAAAACTAGAACATTTAAAAAATGAAATGAGACACATAAGACCATACTTCTTTTTAATTATCAAATGCAATAATGTGAACAGTACTTTGTAGTAGTGACTTGAGTTTGCAGACCTCACTGAGTATCATAGATGTAGGTTGTGACAAAGCAAGGAAGAGAACTCTGGCATACACAATATCTAAAAGGCTCTCTTAACTGCATTTATATCCAGACTATACATTTATGTGTATATTTATATCCAGACTACCTCTTCTAATGATCCCATTCTCTCTTATCTACTCAAAACCCTTGGCAACTCCATGTAAACTCACTCCACGTTAGAATCTCTAGATTGTCATGCCTGATATTTTCTTCATTTGCTTGTGAGTGTTAAGGATTTTGAGGGGCAGATGGAGTATTTGCATAGGGAGAAAGAGATTTTATAACTTGGAATACTAGTTGGAATGTATGTTTTTAGTCTTTCCTTGTCTGAGACCTCTCTTGTACCAGCTGTTTTCCACCTGTGTCCTTGAATTACCTTATTTTTGCAAATTGCAAGAATGGATACCCTTCCTTCCTTTGGCCTAGTTTTCTCATTTCTTACATGCTGCCCTGCTCTCCCCAAACTAAAACCTGAGTTTTGTAACCAAGGCCCAAAATCCTAGGATTCCACATGCCAGTTTCAGCCACTCACTCCTATATGACAAATAAAAAAACATGGTGAAGGGCAGAAACAGATGATTTATTACAGGGCTTGTGAAATGCTGTAAGAGGTGAAGTAAGTACTCAGGCCATATTCATCCATTTTTGGAATATAGACATGAGTTATAGGTTTAAATAGACAAAGAACTGAATAGAGGGAGACAGGTATACATAGTTAAACAGTTCCAGTCATAGGTATGGTCTGACTGGCCATTATTTCAGCCCTTGTTTTGTGAGAGTTTTTGCAGTTGTTATCCAGATTCATTGTTATCTGGCAGGTTGTATATTCTGAGATGGCTCTACTATTAGGGGTAGTTTCTGTCCCTTGTTATAAAGATGTTATTAGTTACGTCTTTCCTGGAATCCAAGGTGATTGAAAAGTTCCTGCAGAGAGAATGACTCAAAGCAAAGACAAATGCAAAATGAAGGCAAGGCACAATGCCACTTTTTCCTCCTACTTTTAGTTAATTTGTGGGCCCAACTAAGTACACAGTACTTTTCAGTTAAAGCAGTTTAAGCCCCTCCTACAAAAATAAGCACTCTTTTTAAAACTTCTCTTGTTCAATGCTCCTCATCATACCTTATTGAAGTCCCAAAAATGTTTTCACCAAGATCATATATGTGCTAGCCCATTAAGTAGTAGAAGCTCTTAAATCTCAGCAAAGATTAAAGGACACTCTAGCCACTCTAGCCAACTTAATGTACTTTCCAGATCTATCAGATTAAGAATGGCCTTAAGAGATAAAAAGATGTGAATCTTTTCTTCCAATGCCACATATTATGTTATTAATAGTGCTTAGAGAACTTCTCTTTGAACTTGTGAGAAGTAGGGAATGCCAAACCTATTTCCCCTTCCTCACTGTTTTTCCAGTTTTCACTTCAAATAAAATTGTTGGCCTAGAAATGAATGTATATACTCAGGAGTAAGTAGGCTTGAAAAGAATTGTGATGTAGACAATGTGTGTGTTGCATCTTTCTCTTCCTTTCTCTTTAAGTGCAAACCATATTTTTAGAGTGGTAAACTTTGCCTTTGGCAATCAGCTGGAGATAAAACCGTATCTTAACAGTGGTGTTACCAGAAGTTAGAGTCTCACCTTTTCTGGCCAAGTTAAGGAAAATACTCAATTTCCAAGGCTAATTTATGTTGAAATATTTATATCACATGCCATTTATACAATTACAAGACGATGAGGACTTTCACACTGCTGAAAACCCTTCTTATAAACTCTTGCCTATCTACCAACCTCTGTGCTTTGTTCTTCTGCAGAGTGTCATACAAAACTATCTTACAAAATTATGTATACAAAACTATCTTGTCATCATAGATACCTTACCCCTCCACTGCAGTGCATTCTAATCACAGACCAGGTTCTTGGAAGTAGACTTTAGGTTGAGTTTAGAAGGCAGCAGATTTATTAAGCCATGAACTTGGGATCAATAGCTGGGGTAGTATAGAAATAGTGTGAGTGGACAGAGGAAGAGTTACAACTCTCACATTGACTCAACTACAGCATTATTCAATGCTAGGGCAAACGTGGAGCAAAAATGATGCTTCAGAGTTGTTTCACGTGAGGCCAAAATGGCGGAATATCTATACCTGTCCTTAGATCAATCACTTAGATGTTGGTATAACATTGTATAACATGGATTGTGCAACTCAAGTAGTTGCTGAGGGGACTAATAGCTGGAAGCTTTCTGATGATACCTCCAGTTACAATTACTTACTTAAAGGAGAATCGAAGTGATATCTCCATTTCCATCACACCTTCTTTACTCAGTTAATTCTTTGCCATTTTTTGTTTGACTATTTTTTGTTGTTTCATATTGTTTGGGGTAGTAGGATTGAACCCAGTGCCCTGTGCATTCTTGGCAAGTGCTCTATCACCAAGCTATATCCCCAGCCCCTACTGGTCATTTTTTAAAATCACTGCTTAATGATATTTCAATTACTTCCTTTAAAAAAACACTTTTATCACTTTATTCACACACACACGCACACACACACACACACACACACACACACACACACACACCTTTCAATTAATTCTTTCTCTCTTAGGGACAGGAAGCCCTGAAGGCAGGAATCTTTTATGTTACAGGCTCACTTGGAGGACCAGCTCAGTGATTTCTTGGTAACTGTCTTTTATGTAGAAAAACAATAAATGATTATTACACATTGCCCTTTATTTTTTTCTCAGCAACATTTATATCCAAGTACAAGCAATATCAATGAACCTGAGGCTGATAAGCTGAATCAGTGACATAATGATGCTAAAGGAGTTTTGGATTGAATACTGTGTTGTCTTTAAACATTATACACATATAGGAAAGTCTGGCCAAGCATTTCACAAATGAATTGCATTCATCATTAGAGGTTTGCCTGATCAGTGAAAATCCATCTCCACTACTGTGCCATTATCCACTGATTACAATCCTGGTTCAGCAAAGGACAAAAAGCACAATTCTGACAAGTGCTGTACATGGAGATTGTGCACTTCATAATTTTAAAATATGTGAAAGTTATATACCTTATATAATTATTTGACCTAATTATTCACCAAGTATCTGACTAAATAAGCAGCTCGGAAAGGTATTAAGAAATGTGGATAATCTACCCTTAAGTAATAGATACAGCTTTCAAGGGATCGTGTCATTTATATGTAAATAATTCATATCTTCAAAGTATTACCATATTTACAAACATCATCACAAATCTTTTAAAATCAGACGTATTAGTGTATCAAAAAATTTGCACTGAATATTTCATAAAAAGATGACTAACATTGGAGATGTTAAAATATGTATTTACCCCCAAAGCATTTGTTAACTTCTACATGGATAAAAAAGCAAGATAAAATATCATATTTAGAATGTGTAATAAATATTCATCATCTAATCGTGTTTTGTAGTATATGGACCTATACTTCCCAAAAGGAAAGCCTATGGTGGCAAAGACTAATCACTTATATTACTTATATATTACTTATATAATTCTTTCAAGAATCTCATAAGGGTCCTAAGTTTTTAAAATTAGCATAGTAAAATTTCTTTAACAGAATATTTAGACAATGTTTTCTACAATGAGGTATCCTTGCATTCTTGAAATTTATAAAAAATGATTAAGATGGATTTCTGCATTGAATTAGGGGAAAGAACTTTGAAATACAATAACCTGCTGAATAGCATTTACACATACCAAAAACCTAGGAGAGAATCAAGTATATCAAAACCAGTAATGAATATGAAACAAATGCCATGTATATACAGTTCTTAGGGGTAAATATTCCTTTCTTTTCTTTTGTTAATTTGTTGATTTGTAATTTTTTAAACAAGCTATTATTTGTGTATTCCTTTTTTCAGTTCAGTCAATAAACATAACTTGCATCATTTTAAGTTATGTTACAAACTTTGAGATTTTTATTTTACTGTGTTTTGAATTATTGTTCTTTTAGTAATCTTCTCCACATAGATAAGGAAACTGAAGCCTACAAAGGTTCAGTAACTTCCCAAATTCATACAGTTTACAAAGGCAAAATTTGAATCTATGCATTTAAAAGAAGACATTTTCTTATTCCCCATGCTAGTCCCCCTATCCAAAAAAGAAAAACTTTCACTGATTTATTGGCTAACAGTAATGTTTTGTTCCCTATCTTTTCTAGCTTTCCCATAGAAATCTAGAAAAAGAACAATCCTAAAATCAGTAATTTGTAGTTGAATATAACTGAATCCATGGGTAATAATAAGCATATTTACTAAATGGAATTGCACTGGGACCAGTCAGAATAACTGATTAGAATAAATTTCGGTCCTGGAAAAATCTATTACTTCTGATTACTAATTGTCTCCAAAATTCCCACAATTTATTACTGAAAACTGAAGATATTCATTTTAATGTTTGCAGAGTTATTGTTCAGGAAATGTTTTCTTATAAAAATTTTCCTTACACTTATAGGTCAAAAATGTAATGAAAAATATCATGGCTGGATTGCAACAAACCAACAGTGAAAAGATTCTCCTAAGCTGGGTCCGACAATCAACTCGTAATTACCCACCAGTTAATGTCATCAACTTTACCACCAGCTGGTCTGATGGCCTGGCTTTGAATGCTCTCATCCATAGTCATAGGTAAGAGTACTACTGAGGTGTTAAATAATGTTTTAATATTGATTTACACACATGATATTTTTTTACCCCAGTGTCGTTATAGATTATTTCCTACTATGCCACATGTTACCTATGTTAACCATAATGATCTAACAATCTATTGGATTGGACTGATTAAGAATCTTTTTCTAACTTTGTTTGAGACAATCTCATATAACCCAGGCTGACCTTGAACTTCCAATCCTCCTTCCTCATCCTCCCAGGTGCTGGAATTACAGGTAAGTGCCAACATATACAGCATTTTTTTTTTACTTTTTATGGGATATATCATTAATTGTTCAAATAGTAAAAATAGAGGAGCTTGAAATTGGTTATGGTTCCTGGGGTGAAGATGAACATACTTAACTGGGACTCCCAGAATGTTTAAGTTGTTTTCTAGCTTTAACAAGAATGAGGTTAGTGTTTTTGTGCAAATAATATATTGGTATGATCCTAAACTATAGAACTAAAAATGATTCCAAATTTCATGTAAATAGTTGTAATAAAACTAATCACCATTATCAGATAAGTTATATACAATATAAAACATTTGTCCTGTGAAATGCAGCTTAGATACCAAACATCAAAAGACCATGTATATTTTCTTCTAGTTCAAGGTTAAAAAAGAGGCTCTGAGCATCTTAGCAACCAATGCAAAGAGGAGAACACAGTGAATTCTATCACTCAGTGCTCAGAATATCAGAAGAAACAATTCTTCTGGAATAGGCAAAGCAACTGCTGTAAAGCAATGCACAGTTCTTCTGTGGATCTTTATAAAAACAACAGAGTGAACCAAACATCCTTAAATATATTCCATATAATATTTTCTAAGGTGACAAAGTAGTGGTTTTCTTTTCTTGCCTAAGGAAATTCAATGAATAAATTAATAAGACCTCAAGAAAAAGTGCAACAATGGGGGAAATATGTATATATACATATTTATATATAGCATATACTATACAACATATATTAATATATAAAAACAATTGCTACAGTACTGTATCATATATGGTGTATATATATATATATACATATGTACATGTATGTGTATATGTATGTATGTGTTCTAAGGAATATCTACTTTGGTATTATTACTTACTCTTTTACCCAACCCAGGATCGAATGCATTGACTAATTAAAAAAAATAAAGTACCAATGGATTGCTTCATCCATGACTTTCAGTGCAGGTTATATTTTTTCACCTTGACTTTTTCTGTTTGTTTGACAAGTTTACCATTTTCCTATGCCAATGTTGTTTCTAGAAAAGCTCATAATATAAATTTTCTTCATGGTAAATCTCAACCCAAAGGCAGACACACTAAATAAGTATCTTTGTTAGGTGGCATGCTCCAGCTGAGTTTAATTAACCGCATCCAGTCTGGGTTTCCAGGTGAATGACTCAGCAACCTGATTTTAGAAAGGAAGCAAACTGACACCCAATCAGCATGTTAAGCAATGATAACACATTATTTTTCATAAGTATAACAGAAGAAAATTTTTCCACAACTTCAATATAGTCAGGTGAGAAGGGAAAGAGAATTTCATTTGGCATTAAAAGTCAGTGCTTATTTATGCAGCTGCATGCTTCACATGAATATCGATCTTGTTCTTCATGTACACATTTGCAGATGAACAAAAATATCGAGGATCAGGTTATGTCGTCCTGGTTGGCACTTTAACATTTTCTCTTCAAATGGAAGACTTCAATCTTGCAAGCATGTTCACACACTGCATTTGTTAACATTCTGTTTTATGATTTCTGAACATATTTGTAGTAGAGTGAATATATCCAGATTGCCCTGTCCCTGACCCATTCTTTCTCTGTGAAAATATCTTCATTTATATATTCTCCTCTGTCAAATTGAATGAATCATCAATAACTATCTCTTTATACATTACATGGTTACTTTTCAGGAGGTGTCACCTAACAGCTTAATGCTCTTTCATGAATCATCTGCCTCTTTGTCTTTGTCAGATGTTCACATTGTTTATCTAAAGAAAGAAAAATGGTTGGACTTTCTGTTCCAAAGTGATTGTCATTGGTCTACTTTGGAATGTCATGAGGTGTCCTGATTTCAATAATTGAATGACTAAGCTATGTAGAACAAAGGCATGTTCTTAATATAGAGCACAGAAATTTACAAAGGACCTTGGAAATTAAACATTTTGTGTTAAAACACAAAGTCCATTACAGTGCAGTTAAAAAGAAACCAGATTTTTTTTTGGTTTATTTATTAATTTATTCACGTGTATACATTGCTTGGGCCATTTCTCCCCCCTGCTCCCCGACCCCTCCCTCTCCCCCCAACCCCCTCGCTTCCAGGCAGAACCTGTTCTGCCCACTTCTCCAATTTTGTTGAAGAGAAAACATAAGCAATAATAAGAAAGACAAAAAGTGTTTGCTAGTTTGACATAAGGATAGCTATACAAACAGATTCCTAGCCTTGCTTCCATACACATGTGTATTACAACTTGAATTGGTTCTGTTTTTATGGGATAACCCATTGATAATTGATTAGAAATATGCCCGAGCTATACAGGCAAAGTTGCAATAACTTTAAACTTGAATTAAATTATCTTAATTACATTGTGTGTGTGTGTGTGTATTTAATCAGAAATTAGAGTTGGGGAAAAGAAAAAAAGAGAAACAAAACATGTCTCATGACTTCAGCCCTACTCATTACATTCCAATTTTTAGATTCAATCAGCTATCAGCTACCTCTACTTTTCCCCCTCATGTTATAATAATATGTATGACATGTTTTTGTTTCTTGATAAATTGATTTCTGAGAGTATATACATTCGCTCCTCAATAGAAAGCCCAGGGGTATGGCCTCTCATCTCCATCTATTTCCTAATATTATTTACATTAGAATCATTTTATTCATAATTTTTACCTTAAATATAAGTGATATGAAAGTACCTGTTTTTAAATTTTTTTCAATCAAATGTAAAAAGGAACTGTTGAAGATCTGATATTAAGGATAAAGAAATAGTCACTTATCCTTACTTTGTTCCCCTTTGTCCACATCCCATTTTGTTATTATATTACTATTCTTACATCAAAAACAGTCTTAACTTTTCTTTCTGTTCTATAAAGATAGGTGTTTTGGATTGAGTCTGTAGTTGAAAATACATTACTGTTGTTATGTAACTACAGTGAACCTTAAAACAAAGTAATGGAAACAAATGCTTTAAAACAATTGTTATTTTGTAGACACTGTTCTAAATAAAAATCTCATCTATTTCTCAGGAGAGATACTATCATCATCCCCATTTCACTGATTAGGAAACCGAGGCACAGAGAGGTAATAGGATTTACCTAGGACCATTTTACTAATATGTGGTAGATCCTGGATTTGAATTTATACTGTCTCAGTTACAAAGTTAGCTTCCTTAAAAGCCTGATCTGTTGTTCATTTATAGATTATGGTCTAGGTTACCATACAAAGCCAAATGGCTTTCCTCTACAGTTGATTATTTTAATAATTTTTATACATGTGGATGTCATATATATTTAAAATATTAATTCATTAATCAGTTTTAATCATTTAAAATGTTAGATTCATTTTAATGATAAAAGTGACCTCAAAGACTATCAGTATAATCCTTCTTCTCTAAACCAGAATACTGAAGCACAAATAAATTGACTTAGATTAAATAATCCCGTGCCTAGGTGATCAGTTAGTGGCCAGGTGAAGGGTTGGAAGGGAGGTGGGAAAAGACAGGAATGAGAAAGTATTCCTATTTACTCTCATCATAGTTGTTTGACCATGTTTACTGTACTATAGGTAAGAAAAGTAGCTTCCTATGTGTTCCTACCAATATTCTCTTCTACTTGTATTGCCCAGAGAAAAATAACTAAAATGGGATAGAGTTGATATAAGGAAGTTAAACCTCCTAATAGTCTATGATTTAATTTTTATTTTTTGTATTTTTACCACCACTACAGGCATTTCTCAACTTTATAGATATTTTAGGTTCCAAAATATTGTTTGTTAGCTGCTTAGGGTAATTTTGAGTAAATAGAGGGGATTAGATTTCATTAGATTTCCTTTCAAAATACAAAATTCTGGTATATTAATTGGGATAGGAACAATTTAAAAGAAACAAAAGGAAATTAGAAATAAATGTATACCTTTATTTTGAATTATAGTCTTCAAAAGTCTTCATGCTCTTGTATAACATGAGATGCTAAGCAGGAGTCCATTGACAGATCCAAGTGTCCTAAAATTGTATATAATTCTGTTTGCCCCAAGGATTGGTATTTGTATGGGTAGACATTTCATAGGTCTCACTAGATTCACAAAAGTGTTTGTGATTGAGAGAAGATAAAGAACCACTTTACTAATGATTACTAATGTTATTTTGATAAATTATAGTTATTTAACAGTCAAGGCCTTATGCAAACTCAACCCAGTCCCCCTTCCTAACCATGTCTCTCACCACTTGATACTTGGAATCTCCCAGTGGAGTGAGGCCTGTGTGGCCTCAATTATTTTCATATGTTCTGCATTTTCCTTCTCTAAGAATTTTAATTCTCCGATATTCATACAATTTTAAATTCTCTTCTCATATTTTTCTTAATCAGAACCCAAACCAGCAATTCAGATGTTTTTATGACACAAACAACTTTCTTGACTTCCTCTGATTTTAGAAAACCTTATATTTTGTTAACTGTGTTTTTTGTAATCTAATTTAGATTTCAATTAACTCATTATGATCCATGCACTTTTCTTCCTCATTAGATTTTAAGTCTTTAAAGGATAACAACTGCCACTTACACTTCCTTGTTTTTTCTCTATTAATTCTGTTTCCTACATTCTCATGTTGGAGATATGTAAAGTGTGAGGATTAATTAAATTATACACTTTAGTATATAGTAGTAATACAGGGGGAGAATATGATCAAAGTATATTAAATGCATGTATGGAAATATCAAAATTAAACCCCTATAATGTATAACTAGTATGTTCTAATTAGAAAAGGGGTAAGATATTACTTGGAAAAATTCCAGAAAAAAATAGTAGTTAGTGCCAATCAGAAAAACAGAAAGCAGGTGCGGGCATTTCTCAACTTTATAGATATTTTAGGTTCCAAAATATTGTTTGTTAGCTGCTTAGGCAAATGTAGGAGTCTATCTAGCCTGTTTGTGGAATATAGTGAGTGAGGCAAAAAAAAAAAAAAATGGGAGAATTAATGAGGACCCAGACCATGTTGGGACTTGTAAATCACAGTTAAATGTTTAACTTTACTCCCCACATAATAGCGATGTGAGAATAAAGACAGGATGAAACATATTTTAACAGATCACCCTACAACCTCTGCTGCAACTGAGTTAATAAAGGTAAAGGTGGGAGGAGTGGGAGAAGTGAAAAGGTCATTGCAATGTATGCATGCATGCATAAAAGGGTGGTTTGCACTACTATGATGGCAGTGAGGATAGTGAGAAGTGGTCATATTCTGGATGTATTTCATCTAAGTCTTGTGTGAAAATGAGGATCATCGAGGATGACAAGAATTTCCTTCTGTGAAACTGCAAGTTTGAGTTTGTTGATTATTGAGGAAGGGAGAACTACAAGAGAAAGAAGTGGGTTTGGAGGAATGTGATGAAGATGAATAGCAGAAGCTCAGTCTTGGATACTTGGGGATGGTGATTAAGTGGAGATACTGAATAGGCAGTTGAAGGAAGCTATTCTGGCATTCAGGGAAGACATTTGAGGTAGGCTTATAAAATTGGGAGTTACCAGTAAGTGACTGGTATTCAAATCTGTAAGACTGGATGAAATTAACACATTTTTCTTGTTGTATAAAGTATACTGAATTATTTTCTTCAAGATGTTCTTTCCCTAGCTTTATTGAGGTATAACTGGAAAAGAAAATTATACATACTTAGGTGTACAATGTAAGGATTATCAGTTAACATTGTGACATGTTTAAATTTAAATTGGAAATGTTATTGAGAGATGGTGAAGAATAACAATTTTTAAAGACTAAAAGCATGGGTTATCAATCAGAATTCAAAATTGAATTGAGTCTCATGGAACATTCTGGATTGATTATATTTATATCTATCTGTGTATGTATGTATGTTTCAGGCCAGACCTGTTTGACTGGAATAGTGTGGTTTCCCAGCAGTCGGCCACACAAAGACTGGAACATGCATTCAATATTGCCAAATGTCATCTAGGCATAGAGAAACTGCTTGATCCTGAAGGTTGGTGCATTTCTGGACTACCATCATTTTAAGTACAGTTTAATGTGGTGGGTTTTTTTTTGTCTCACACAGTCTTGACATTTCTACATATTAAGCACATAGTAGAAAACTATATATTTTATGTTTTTGATATTATAGGAATATTTTAAATGTTCTATTTTCTAGTACTATATTATAAATTCCCTTTTCACTTTAGTTTCAAATGCAAATATCTAAAACTGAAGTACAAAATTTTGTGGGAAAATAAAGCAAAAGAAACTTTTAGAAGGCATATGCCTCATGGAAAGAGCACACTGCATTCAGAGTTCTTTGATTCCAAATAATTATAAAAAGTTAATGTTTTGCTTATTCTACCAAGAAATTTGATAGACTAATGAGCTATAATTAATTAGTTACCCTTGCAAATTTCATTCATATACTCTATTAAAGACATCTTGGTTTACTATTTAAATCAGGAAATCTATTCCTGCCACAGCTTCTGTTATAATTTGTCACTGTGGTGAGGTCCTCCATTTCATGATTATTCATTTTCTTTTTCCTTAGTTGACAGGCACCACTGTATCTATAAATTTTATTTATATTACCCTTATATAACTTTCATCCTTATCTCTGTTGCTACATGGCCATATCTTATAAGCACATGGATAGAAGGGATAATGGCATTCTGACCTTTTTTCTTCTACTCTCTGAGACATTTTTGTGGTGTGCCAAATTCTATGAAATTACAGTCTGTTCTCACTTTGCTGAAGCTTTACCACAGAGAGTAAGAGTCAGTGGGATTTATATCTGCAATATAAAAGAAGCTAATATTTGGGTAGAAGCTGTAATATAATAGAAGCTGATAATTAAATCATGTTTAAAACATTTAATCAATTCCAAAACAAGAAATCTTTAAGTGGTGATGGTAGGTTTCATTAGAGAAAGCTCAGAAATTAGTCAGAAGAGAGTATTGCTGATCAATCTATTATCATCCACAGTCTACCCCCTCAGTGTTGCAGACCCTGAAACCTGACTGCCTCAGCTCATCTACCAAAACCATATCAGGGAAGGGAGGAGGTTAAGCATAAACAAGCTGAGAAAATGATATACAAATAAGAATCAAAATTCAATTATTGCAAATCAGGTTATTTATCTCAAGCATGGGAATACTTATATATATTTGGCCAATATACAGATTGTCCCCAAGCTATGATGGTTCTATTTACAATTTTCATGGTCACAATGGTGTAAACATGACATTCATTCAGTACAAGCCATATTTCCTGTCTTAGGCAGTGAGCCTAAGAACCATGTGATCATGAGGGGAAATAGCTAATATTCTACAGTGTACTGTGCTTCTAAGCTCCATGTCATTTGGTTAGGTGTGGTAAATGCATTTTCTGTGCTTTGGGGGATTGAGGCTAGGGTCTCATGCATGCTAGGTAAGTGATTTTCTACTGAGATACATTTCCAAGTCCCACTTGCATTTTTGACCCAAGATGGATATATTAGGATATAACCCTATCATAAGTGGAAGCATCTGTCATTGCTCTTGATTAGCAAACATACTTGGGGAAGCAAATTCTAACGATATAAATGTGAGTTTATGAGGTTAATTAGAAATACTCTTCTCCTTTGAACAATGCATGACATCAACTCCTGTAAATCCCTTTTGTCACTTCTATAAATGATGAACATCCTTCCTGTCATGGATTTTAGCTCTATGGAAAGAACTGTATTGTGTGAGCTTATTTTTCAGCATAGGCATGGCTCACCTTGCTTTGACTCCTACTACTGATTTATGTGTTTTCTCTTATTCCAGTGAGGTAGGAATGAGAGACATAATGAAAATATAGAGTCCAAAAACAGAGGATAAGAGCTATAGTGTATAGATTTGAAGGATAAATCAGTTAATGATTTTTTCATTAAGTTCTCATATAGTGGTAAGTCCTAATTTTGTTAGGTATGTATGCTCTAGTTATTTTGTGTATATTCTCTCATAAAATAGTAAAAGCAGTTTAATATTTTTGGACTGGCAGTGTGGCTAAGTGGTAGAACACTTGTCTACCATGAAGGATGACCTGGATTCAATCCCAGCACTGCAAAATACAGTAACAATAATAGTGAATAAAATAGATTTTTCTTATTAACTGATAAAAATGGCTTTTACCTCTATATCCTCCTTTGAGTCAATTGAATATAGATATAAATGTCTACTAGGCATGAATCAGAAAGTAGATTGATGATCATGTAATCAGAGAAAGACAGTTACATGGATAATATATTTTATCACACAAAAGGACTCTGTTATACCTAACATTCCATACTTTCATAAATGGAAAATGTAGGTTGTAATATACATCATACAGCCTGTAGGAAAGATATTATAAAATTTCAAACTTGAACAATTCAAAGTCAACCAAACATAATGTAAATTATGGACTGATTAATAGATATACAATCAATTTTGTTATAGTATCATTTTGCTAATAATTCTGACATATAAAGCTCTTTATGTACCCACTTCTTTTTTGTCAATGTAAGGGTCTCAACTAAAGGCCTTGTGTTGCTAGGCAAGTGCTCTACCACACCAGTTGCACCTTAGCTCTTTTCTCTTTAGATATTTTTTAGTTGGGGTTTCATGTTTCTGACTGAGGCCAGTCTCAGACTTCAATCACACTACCTCTGCCCCTGATGTCACTGGGATTGCAGCTGTATACCATCATGCTCATATTGCTCTTTCAGATAGGGTCTCACTAACTTTTTGCCCATCAAACCATGATTTTTCTATCTCTGTCTCCCATGTAGTTCTGATTACAGTTGTAAGCCACCACACCTGACCTTATGGAATCAATTCTAATTCAAAAACTTATGCTTCATAAAAGGTTTATTAAAACTTACTTAGGGCTCTCAATAAGATGAGGATTCAGCATAAGTTCTGTGGTATATTTTAAATACCTGTCACTTCTTGGTATAGTGTTAGGACAATAACCAAATGTACATTTAAATTTATTGCTCAGCACTTTTCAAGTAATGATTATCAATGATAATTGAAAGAAAAAATGGAACTAAATCATAAGGATTTTAATTACTGATTTGTTATTCACAAATGACCAAATGCCATCTCATAGAATCACAGACTTAGAACACTCTTCAATGGATCTAACAGGAGAGATATGGACTTCTTTTATGCCCTGAATAATGATTGCCTTTGAGAAGTTCATATTTTTATTTAATCAAATATTAGTCCTTTAGTTTATGCACAACAGTGTCAGCTATACTCTAAAGCAATTTTCATTATATATTTGTTATGTCCCCTATGAGGTTAATGAAACATTTCATTTTATATTTGGAGAGACTTATATTATTGTGGAATTCAAGATAGTACCTCCCAAATAATGTTTTTTTAGAATTTTAAACTTATGCTTTCTTGACTACGCTGATTTATAAAGTAAAAAGTCTATAGGACGTTGCAATTTGCATAACTTGCACACATAGACTTGTTATGCTTTGTTTGGACTTAACTGTTGTTTTGAGATGTGAGGTTTGATTTTAAGCAGAATTGCCTTTTAAAATAAGTAGCAGTATGCATAAGCATAAGCAATTTCAAGAGCTCCTTCTAGTGTGTTTAAATGTTAACATATGCAAAAATAAGAACATGTAGGGTAGAATTATTTAATAGTTTATGTATCTTTATGCTCACAGATATAAAAGTTTTATCTCCTTCCAAATACATCCTATTGTGAATCAGTTCACGTCGGATCATGATTTCTCTGTAAGATATACATTGTACCTGCATTGTAGGTTTCATATATGTTGTTTGTTTCCCTGAGTTTCAAACAAATTGGTTTGCCAATCCAAAAACAACTCTACATTAACAGAATGCTTTGTCAGCTTTTCTTTGTGAATAACAAAGTGAAAATGCTCTCTTTAAAGATATAAAGTATAAAATGCTGTTCCTGTTCTAGATGACTTCTGCATTTCAACATTACTGTTGAAAACCATTTCCATTTGGATTATGCAATCTGATATGGAAATGTCCTTACTTATTTGCCAGGGAAACTTTAGAATGAACTATGAATGATGACAGTTAAATTTGACTAACCACCACAACAACAGAAAACAAGGACTTGGGAAGAATTTTAGTATCCTTAAAATGACATTTACAAACCAATTAGAATTTGCTTTTAATCCACTTCATTTTGATTTCATGAGGGTGGTGACACAGATTCCATTTTCTGCTTGGCTAATCTCCCTGCAACTCTCTGAGTTGTTTTGAGTGTCTTCTTTTTCCAAGAATTAGCTCTGTGTATTAGAAAGTTTTACTCCTGAAGTGAATGGGTTCAGGCTTAAATTTGCATGCATGCAGGTTTTTAGTCTTCAAAGAATTTTCAAGCACAAATATATAGCATTTGCTGTAAAAGAGGAGACTGTCTTTAAGGCCTCTTGTATTGACATTGATAGCAAATGTTTGAGGAAGGACTATTTTTATTTTCTTCCATCATTGCTCCATCACATTTTGTTACCCAAATGATAATATATTGTAAGTATTTTGCACAAGTTAAAGTCAAAATGTGTATTATACTAACTCAGAAGGATTATCATTAATTAAAGCAACTAGAAATTTTTTGAAAAACTGGTGGCAGACACAGAAATCTAGACAAATGTGATTAACATTCCTAACATGCATATCATTGGAACAAGGATATTAGAATATCCTTGACTATTTTTAGCTTTTATCTTGATTTTTTTTTTTTGCCTTTCACCTCTCCACAGCCAGACATGTTGCATAAGTAGCCTTGACTGTTATTCACTGTTACTTCAATGCACTTGCATTAAAGTATAGTATACCAGAGCATCTGGAGTCATACTTAGATCCATTATTGTTGTCATATAAAATTAATCTTTAAAAAATTTGCATATGAAGGTAATTATATAGAAGAATAAAATTTAAAACTTTGTATATGATTAACAATTTACCAATAATAAAATGCAAACATATTAGGTGTATTAATTTTGTGGTATAGAAAATTATATCAACATTAGTATATTAATATACAAATCTCTTCTTTCTTGATGGAAAATTTGTAAATTGCTTATCACAACAGAAATGAAAAGAAACAGGTATTATATATATTAGCTCATAAGCCCAAAAAACCAGAAAAGGGGAATGAGAGAGAAAATGAGAATATATTATGTCTCCTTTTAATGACCTATCTTCTACAATATTCAGTATTCTATGTTCAGATACCATAGAAAACCAAATATTTTCAGGGTAATTTAACTAATCACTAATGAACTAAAACTATTTTTGTCCTGTTTATCCATTTTAGTTGTTTGGATGACTGAAATAATTGGATGTAACTGTACCAGATTCACCCACTTAGACAATGAGAACTGCAAAACAAAATATGATATTGATGTGTGTGCATGGCCTGAATTCTTCCTTTATACTTAAATTTGGTGTTTTAAACTAACCTTTGTCTTTCATAATTTATCACACATTTGGTTTCATGGAAAATAGCTGATTTATATTTTCTAGCCCTCCTTGCAGTTGATTTATTTAAAACAATGAAAATGCTATAGTTAAGCAATGGAGTTCCTTACTGGATTTGGGGAGTTTAAGTAATTAATTGTTATCATTCATTTGTATTGTGGATGAGGTTTTAGATCAATTTGTTTAGAAACTTTTAAATGAAATTCTTCCCTAGAAAACTAGGAATTTCTTTTCATTTACTTTATCAGATTTTTTTCTACAATGTCTTTAAGATGAGGAAAGCATAGCATCTACAGTCACAATAAATTATTTTGAATAAACAACAGAATATCTGTAAATTATTTCATTTTGATAATGAGAAATGCAGCTACCAAGTTCCAATGCTGAATGAAATATGATAGATATTTTGTTGCAACCATGCCCTGGTATATCTTCAAATAAGTTCATGATACTGTTAAAGAAAATATATTGAAAAAAATTGATCTTTTTTAATTGCTTGTAAAATTAATTTTTTACTTATAAAACTCAGATATGAAGAAATAAATTAAACAGTAGTAAGTTTGTCATTAATGTGTTCCATAGTTCATATCTCTGTTTTTACTACCAAATGGTATTGCTCTAATCAAATTATTTTGAAAATTCATATGAGAGAAAACGATAATATAATTGCATTAATAGTTTTTAAAATGTTTGTTATTTTCTTTTTTTGGTGGTGCTGGGGTTTTGAACTCAAGGCCTCAAGCTTACTAGGAAGGTGTTCTACTGCTAGAGCCACTTTTTGCTTTTTGTTATTTTTCAGATAAGATCTTGCCTTTTTGCCTGGGGCCATTCTCAGATTTTGACCCATCTACTTACACCTCCCATTTAGCTGGGCTAACAGGTGCATACCTCATGTGCAGATTGGGGTCTTGCTAGCTTTTTCACCTGGGTTGGCCTCCAACTGCAATTCTCCTGATCTATACCTCCAGAGTAACTGATTACAGGCCTGTGTCACTGTGCCTGGCTTTATGTAATTTTAATTAAGTCAATGATATTTTTTGAAAGTAAAGCATATGTTATTGATAGTTGGAACATTTTATCCAATTCACTCTCTTCTCAATGGAATTAATAATGTTTGATAAAACATAAAAGAGATGACACAAAACTTTCAAATTAATATCTGTACACCTTAAAACTCAGTACTGGGAAAATACATATCAGGTTAATACACATGTCTTCCAATTAAATAATCTATATAGGAATTAGTGCTCCATTTAATAGCTGGAAGGCAAAATGTAAAACAAAACTCTTTTGGTTTAAAATAATATTCGAGTAAAATAATAATGAATTGGAATTTTGGTTCATGTCATTTAGTTCTTATAATAGGGTAAGAGTTTTTATAACAATAAGATATACCCCTCATAGAAGGAGATCTGGTGATTGTCTGCTGGTTGTATTTAAAAATAATAAACTATATTCTATGATTTAGTATCTTATGACAAACTTGTTGGGTTAATGGGTAATGTATCCATTTGATAGATGAAAAAACTTTACTGCTATTAAGTGCTTGTGAATTTAATGGATTATTAAAATTAAGTTGGGTGAAACTCAGTACTTTTACTTTTTAGAAATTATCAGTTGTTGTATAATATCACTCTTGTCAGAAATTATTTCAATATTGTTGAATAAAAATTTGCCTCAAATTGAATAACATGTTTCCCTGAAAGATTTTACTAATATATAATCAGTGATAGAAACTCAAATATACAAAATACTTTTTGGTATAGAGAATTCAAATTTTAGTACAAAAAAACATGTTCTAAGTAACACATATTTTACCCTATTTTAAAATGAAAAGACCTCTTTTGAAGAGCCCACGAGCCTCACCCATAAAAACAGATGGCTGAAAGTTAGTTATCGCCATGGTGGCCATTTGCAGGTGTGAATCTCTTGGAAGCATAAGTAATAAATGAGAGAAATCAAGGCAACAGGGACACAGGTTGGTGGTTGTCAGAGGCCTTCATTAGACAGAGAAAAGAAGAAACTGTCTCAGTCATGAACAGTTTGAAGACTGAAGAGAAGCCTCAATCATAACTGAAGAGCCAGAGGTTTTTTATACAGAAATTCCAAGCTTGGACTTGAACTTGTGCGACCATGGCTGAGCTGATTAACTTTTAGGAACTTGTCTGTAAAATAAAGGACGTTGGGTTAGAAAAAAAAATGAAAAGACCTGAAGCTTTGAAAGCTTTATTAAAACTAAGATCATACAGATTATAGATCTGTATGATGAAATCAAATCCAGGTTTATCTCTTCTCAAAGTTCATGTTATTTCTAATAGAACTGTTCAATAAAACAACCTGAGGGAGCTTCATGAAAATGTAGGCATTATAGCTTATATTCTGTTTCATTTCACTGGGGTAGAGCTCCAACACCACAATTTTGAAAAGCTTATCAAGTGAGACTATCAAAAAGACAGGGTTAAAATAATTGCAGTAGAGCAATTGTTTTCATGAGATTTGCCTTTTTAAAGGAAAAACTCAGAATCTGTTTTCCCATGGTTTGTTCACACCTCTAGCATTTTCTTCCTCAAGTGATGACTAAGCCTGCTGATCAAATCTTCAATTATAGGGGCATTGCTTATTACTAACTGTCTTTTCATTAATGAGAAATGGTTTATCTACCAGCTAAAACAGAAATATACTAGCTGTAATATAAGACTGGCCACCAAAATATCTTCCTTAGGATTAAGGAACTTGTCTTTTTTTAATATTAAAAACAATGGATAAAAATTTATTGGGAACAGGATATTCACATAATTTCCAAATATCTCTCCATAAATACTGCACTCAATGTTAAGATGCAAAAAAAAAAAAACCCACAATATATTCTTCTAACAAAATGATCTGGTGCTCATCATCATAAACAATGAACAAACTTTCCTTCAACAATAATGGAGATTTGTTTTGTGGTACTGAGATTGAGCCAAGGGCTTTGACAATAGTAGATAAAATGCATTATCATTGAACTACAACCCAGACCTATTTTTCTTTTTATTTTGTGACATAGTCTTGCTAAGTAACCCAGGCTGACCTGAAACTCACTATGTAGCCCAGGCTGGCCTGGAACTTGTGATTCTCTTGCCTCACCTTCCTGGGTAGCTGGAATTACGGGCACATGCCACCAAGCATGGCAGTAATGGAGAATTTTTGCCTTTTTTTGTAAGAAGGATTTTTTAACTATGTTAACCTCTTGCCAGATAGTTTAACCTGAATCTACTCTGAGAAAATAATAAGATAATGCAGATTACAGAAAACAAACTTTCCAAAATAAAAGGTAGGGAAACTCTTCTATATTAAAGAAGAGTAAAGTGTTATGATAGCCAAATATAATATTTGATCTTTGATTGGATATTAGAACAAAAACAAAAGTTGAAACAAAAAACTAAACACTAGTTCGGAGGAATGGCTCAAGGGGTAGACTGCCTGACTCAAAAGCATGAAGCTCTGAGTTCAAACACAAGTTCCACATAATAAATAACATAACAACAATAACAAAACAACTAAATATGTAAAGGGCATATTGAAGAAAATCGAGTATTGTAAAGTATATTAAATAAGGCTATTTGTTAGTGTTTGCACCATGTTCATTGGTGCCAACCCCCCTCAACTTCTCCACCCACCTCATCGCAGAACATGTTCCACCCTTCTGTTCTCTGATTTTGTACAAGAAAAAACGTAAAAGATAAAATGAGAAACTCGACGTTTTTGCTTGTTTGAGATAAATATAGCTACACAGAGCGTTTCCTTGTGTTGTATCCATGCATATGTGTATTATAGCTCCAGTTGATTCACCTCTTCCAGTCCTCCTCACTCCTCCCTAGTCTACTTCCCATGGTGGCTCAGGCCAGTTTAAAATGTCTGCATTCATTCTTGTACAGTGAGCACATCACCTCATTCAAGTTTTGGGTTTCCTTCCCTTTCTCTATCCCTCCCTTGCACAGCTTCCCCTTAGTGTGACCCATCATATCCCATAATATTGCTGCATTTGTTTTAGGTCTATAATCCACGTATGAGGGAGAACATGCGGCTTTTGGCTTTCTGAGCCTGACTAACTTCACTTACGATGATATTTTCTAATTCTATCCATTTACCTGTGAATGACAAAATGTCATTCTTCTTTATGGCTGAGTAAAATTCCATTGTGAATATACCACATTTTTGTAATCCATTTATCAGTAGTGGGGCATCAAAGTTGTCTTATCTCATGTTTGCACAGCTTACTGTAGCTCTAGTGTTCTCTCTGGTCTCCCTCTCCCTCTCCTTTTCTCTTTCTCCCCTCACCCTACCCCCCTTTCTCTTTATTGTTTCCATATTTGTTTGTGACAGAACTCATACTCTCACTCAAATACTGCTTCACAAAAGGGCTGTCTAGGTAAGAGGACCAGAATGCTGAAGTGGTCCTTGACTCCTTATTCTTTTAGTTTTCCTTTTCTGTCTTCATCTCTACCTTGATCCTAAGTAATATCATTGCGCCCTGTCATCAGAGGCTGGATGATTCCTTTCTCAGTAGTAAAAATATCTTCCATTCACATCAGATAAGACTTCATAATCTACAGTTTCTTTCAATAATGACTAAGAAGTGGAAGGATGAATTCAAGTATGATACATTTGATACATTGTAAGAACTTTTGTAAATGCCACGATGTATCCCCACCCAACACAACAATAAAAAAATAATGACTAAGGAATAATAAAGAAAAAAATTAAAATTCCAGTAAAGTAATTATTTTCAGATTATAAATTTGTGATCTCATAAATTCAATTAAAATAAGAAAATGCTTAATTTCATGATTTATGACATTAATGATACAAATAATTTGACTTTATTCACAGTCCATTTGCCTAAGATTAGTTTTGCTAAACAGTCTGCATATCAGTCAGATACATGACTTTTAGTGACAGGACATAATACAATAATAAAGAGTGTTAATTTTGTTCTCTTATGTGTAAAGTTGCTCATTGGGACTGACACATGAGCTAAATTTTACAAAAGTCATTATAAATGCACACATGTTCATGGCCCACAACATGTTTGAGCAATGCATTTTTAAAAGTTAAATCTAGTACAGTTAATCACTTCCAACATGAGAAAGCACTCTTTAAGCTATTTTGTCAACATTTATAAGAGAAATTGGTCTTGGATTCTTAGTCTTTTGAAGAGCTATAGAAAAGCTGCTTCTCTATAAAGGTAGCATATATTGCCAATAAAATATGTAAGAGAGGACATTTACTTATAAAACACAGAAAATGATTTACTAGGAACAGTTGTTTTATTAGCTGTTTTGCTCTTTCATGGCTGAAACCATCCTGGGGAATTTTTTAAAAAATGATTTAATTTGTCCTCTAAACACATGGATGAATTCAGGATATTTCTTTTTTTTCCCATGAATCAACCAGGTTGGCACTGAGATTAAAGGTTTGCATCTAGAAAATCTTTATAGTAATAAATGTATCTTTTAAATTATTTTAAGTTGTTAATAGAAATAGCTTTAAATATAGATAAAAAGAAGCATAAATATTACTTGTAATGAAATACTCCATCAATTTACTGAATGAAAATTAAAGTTTTTTTCCAATGTAATTTTAATGTAAACTGTGTCTGAATATAAAGTATAACTGACATTCATATACAATATTACATTTGAGTATTTTATATTCCTCAAGCAAACAATCACTTGAACAAAT